GCATAACAAACATACACACATGTAGTAACTCGTATTAGCTACATTTCCAGTGTTCTACCACTCCGTAAAAAACGTATTACTACATGATCCGCCCTCTATGCACAGTTGGCGAAAAACGTAATTTTACAGGTCCCTAAAGCTAGGCTAAAATTATACTTTACTGATTCTAAGGAATTCCAGTCAGTATAGCAGATTGCACTTTCCTTAACTTTCTGATTTGATTCAGCCTAATTATTTTTTGCAGGCTGTTTTTATTACAGCAATTCGATGAAAATTAAACTTTCGATCATGTCGAAAAGAGTTTCTAATTCTGGACTTGCAACAGGATCTACAATGCGAAAGCATGTTTCAATGTCCATTAAACAAAAAGTGGAATTGCTTCAAAAAATGGATAAAGATATATATATATATATATATATATATATATATATATATATATCTGTGTCAAAATTACGTGAGGAGTATGGCATTGAAAGTCAACTCTATATGACATAACAAATCAGAAAAAGGAACGTTTTGAATTTTTTGTGGATTCCGACACTCTGCTCACAGTGAATAACAGAAAAATTATTTATTATGTGAAGTATCGTAAAAGTGAAGATCATGACAAAGTGATAATTGAATGCATCCGACAGCATTGCAGCGAGGGCTTGCCATTGACGGGTCACATGCTAATGAGCAAGCTTAAAATATTTCACAAAGAAATTAACTTAAAAACTGTGTGCACATATTCGACAGGTTGGTTAACCAAATTTAAAAATCGCCATGGTATAAGGCAATTAAGAATTTCAGGTAAAACAATACTGATGAACTATTTGCAGATGAATTTATTGAACTCATTAGTTAAAAGTTATCTCCAGAACAAATTTACAACGCTGATGAAACTGGTCTTTTCTGGCAATATGTACCGCAAAATATATTGGCAGCCTGTATAGAAAAGGCTCCAACTCGTGTCAAAGATTCCAAAGTGAGACTAACAATTTATCATGTACAAATGCGGCAGGAAACACAAATCTAAACTTTTCATAATCGGAAAAATACACTTATCTCAAACATTTAAAGGAGTAAAATGTTTCCCATTATATATCGTGCAAATAAAAGAACAGGGATGACACAAGTGTTAATAAATGATTCGTTTGAAAATCATTTCATACACAGGGCTCAGCAACATTTGAATTCGGTTGGTTTACCTGATGACGCAAAAATTGTCCTGATTGTAGACAACGGTTAAGTTCATACTTCACTTAAAGTTTTAGTGAAAGAAAATGTGACTGTATTAGTCTTTTCTCCAAACTGTACGTCAATCATTCAGTCTACTGATTTTTGGAATACTGCGCATGTTAAAATGCAAATATAAAGTAGAATTTTTAAAATCCATGTTAAATTTCTTGAATAATGGCAACACTGTTCAAGAATTTTTTTATATTTTTAGTGTAAAATCTGCTTTATTGAGCATTGCAAGATCATGGGAGGATGCGTGTCCAGGTAATTTTAAAAAATGCTTTGCATAATTTATGGCAGCTAGCATATTTATTTCATGGTGAGGTTGATGAATATGCCAAATTAAAGGGAAAATATTAGCACAAAATGAGCAACTTAAACAACTTACATTGAAAGAAATGTTTAATAAAGTAAACAAATAAATATTAAGCCTCCCTTCTTTTTTTTTTTTTTTTTTTTTTTTTTTTGTGTGTGTGTGTGTGTGTGTGTAAATTTTGTTACCCTTTAGATCATATATGCTTCATTATTACATAAATAATGATTTCATACTTTTAACTTTATAATTTCTATATGCCATCTTACATGCTTTAAACTAATGATCTAATATCCGGAAAAATCCCAAATCTGGAATCGCCGGAGTCCCGATGAGTCCAGATCTTGGATTTTGTTATAACTTTTCATGTATGTATTAATTTTTCATTTAATTGAAAATTTTTTTAAATTTTAATTAGTAGTAGATGGATTTTGATACATTCTGAAAGTTTCAAATTTTTACTTCACTTTTCTCTGAAAGTTGTATTTAACAGATCTGTTAATTTTTAGCAAAAACTGAAGTTTTTTGGGGGAAGGAAGAGGGAAAAAATGAATTTCGCCCTCATTTCAAGCATAATGGTTTTTTATTATCAAAAGTCATCTACAGTAATTATTTTAGAATATAAGAAAATATGTAAAAAGAAATGCATACAGAGAATTACTATAATGAATATTCTGAAGCTTTTATTTTTTATTCATGAACTATTTTTGGTGATAATTAAAACAGTATTTGACAAGCAGCATACACTTACAAACACTGAATAATTTCTAACCAATTTTTCTTGGAATGTTTTATCTCAAAGTATTTTATGTCAGTTTCATTTAAGATTAAATAAAAATTTATGCCTCTATTTTTTCCCCAAATTTTTAAATGAATATAAAAGACATCAGGTACAATAAAATGTTCAGGTGATTGCTTAAGTAGGGATAGACTTATGTAGAATTTTCGGACAGAAACTATTGATGTGCATTGTGTACTTTGAAAGGTATGAGACAAGTATTTATATATATATATATACTCTCTATAACAAAAAAAAATCGCTGCATCAAGAAGGAATCATCCGATTGCTTTGAAATTTTGTATGCATAAGTGTTTTGACCAAATATGCAAATTATTAAAATTGGGTGTCTAGTGAATGAATAATGAGATCTCCTGCGCATTGGAACTGCACATCCAGCAGATGTATATAAGGAACTATTCTTGAACTGCTGTTAAAAATTTCTGTTGCACTGCAATTTAGTATACCTTTGAATGACTGAAAAAAATGCCTCGCCACAGGATTCGAGCTCAATATGAGCAACTGTCAGAGTTTCAAAGAGGTTGTATCATTGGATTCAAAGAGGCAGGTTGGGCAAATCAGAGAATCACTTGTCATATGTGTCAAAGCGATACACCAATTAGATGATGCTGCCAAGAACAGGTGGACAATGGCAGATTTCAGTGTCATGATGGTAGCGGTTGACCTAGGGCCACAACAGATCACGACGACAAAGTTATTGTCAGATCAGCTATCACAACATCTGATTCATTGCTATCAACCATCAGACATTTGAACCGCACATGAGTGTCTACCATGATTTCCTAACTGTATTCACAGACATTCACAGACAGCTGATAGAGTGAAATCTATCCTCATATGAACCGTTGCGCCACCTGCCTCTCACGCCTGCACTCTATTGAGCCAGATTACAGAGGTGCTCGGCTTGATCAGGTTGGAATGATGCTGACTGGGGACGTATAGTCTTTAGTGACAAATCCTGCTTCGAACTGTGTCATGACAATCATCGAAGATGTGTCTGGAGATCCCTAGAGCAGTGTGCCTGCTTTCACTTTTGCATACTTCACAGGCCCTCAATCAGGAGTTATGGTCTGGGGTGCCATTTCCTTTGATAGCTGGACCCCTTTGGTCATCATTAGAGGCACACTTGCAGCACAGTGATATGTCGACAACATTCTGAGACCCGTTTTGTTACCGTTCCTTTTGCAGTACCCTGGCCTTATTTTTCAGTAAGATAATGCCAGACCACCTATGACACGTGCTGCTATGAACTGTCTTACAGCTTGTCAAACACTTCCTTGGCCAGCCAGATCTCTCTCCCATCGAGCATGTCTGGGATATGATGGGAAGGCGACTACATCTACCAGGGAATGTTGATGACCTAGGCCAACAGTTGGAGCAAAGGTGGCAGGAAATACCACGGGAGACCATCAGGGAACTTTGTCAGTGTATGCCATGCTGTGTGGCAGCTTGCATCCAGGCTAGAGGTGGGTCAATACCTTATTGAGCTCGTTACTTTGTAACTAAGTCACTCTGAAATAAAGCATTCATTTGTTCTGAAATTTTAATCATTTTCTATTCTGTACATAATCTTCTTATCCACCAATTTTTGTCTCCATCAGTTAAATCCTTCTTGATGTGTAGATATTTTTGTTATAATGTTATTATAATATGTAATAAAATGCATTTTATTTTGCCTTTTTGTAGATTACACATGTTGTTTAAATTCCGTGTTTTTTGGGGGGAAGAGGAGGGAAGATACAGTTAGGAAATCAGGGATTAAGGTTAATATATAGATGATATTGTAATTGGTCTACAGTGAAAAGATTATTAAGTATTTAAAGTTCTAAATACATATAATGATGAATTCAAACAGTAAAAAATATATTAGTTAATTTCTTGACAAATAAAGAAATTAGAAAAGGCTCTATGATAAGTACTGCCTACACAACATGATATTTGTGATACAAAGGTACTTGCTGTCTATTTACACCCAAAGCTATTTTAGTGATGCATAAATTTGTCTTAGATTATTATATGTGAATGTGTCACATATAATATTCATTATTTATCAGATTTCATTATAAAAAAAAGCTATCTTTAAAACATATGTAATCTGCTGAAATATAGACTACACTGCATTTTTGAGTATAACATTGATTTAAGCTAGCACAGAAGGATGACATTGTGTTTGTACGTAATATGAATATTATGGTGTCAGTTTTTGCTTCTTTAATTTGGTTTAATATTATATATCACTATGGTTCAGTTTAATATAAGCATTTATCAATTTCAAATTTTTGATGAAATGAATGAAACTTGTATTTGGAAAATACTTTATGGGTAGATTTGATGAATAGCAGTGTTAATAGTAGGTTAAATATTTCAGCATATGATGATGATAAAAAAGAACCCCCAAGAGACTGAAAAGCATCTTTGACCCAAGGAAATTATTTTCAGTGTTTGTAATGCAGTTACTTAGCTAATGGGTGTTTTTATGATTTAGCATAATTTTCATTTAGACTGTAAAGAGATTATTGTAATATAATTTTCTCAGACCTTTTCTTCTTGGTATGTGTTCATCATTAATATAGAATATTTAGAGTTATGTTAATATTTTTGCACATATATTTTTTAATGCATTTTCTGTGAATTTTTTCTCTTTATTGCTGTCTCTGTGAACAACAGTGTGGCTACAGAAATCATTTTCTGTGGGCAGGTATTTGAATCTTGCTCTTTAACATTAAAATTTTAGATTTTTTGTAAATGAAAAATATCAATTATTTTAAAGAGATATTTTTATGAATACTGATCTAATAAATGTGATCACTTATTTTTCACCAGAGCTGTGTTTATATTGTGCAGAGGACCTAAGTCATCTGAATAAATGCAAAAAGCAATTTTGTGGTCTTATAGTATATTAAATTAATGGGCATAAAATATAAAAAATTTTAAGAAATGGAATCTTAAGCTCAGAGAAAATTAAACATTAGAAAGTAGAATTTCAGAATTTAATACTAAGTATTGTATTGAAAGTTTGAATTACAAATTAGTAATTAATCTTTACCTTCCACTTAATTATTGTATCTTTGTTTGCATTTCTGAAATATGTACAAAACTGTTTTTACTTTTTTGGTTATGAATTAATCAAAGCAGAAAGCATTTAAATGAAGATTAATGCAAGAATATCTCTTTCAAATTCTGTAGACATCTATTTGAAAAATACAGTCAAAAGTCGTTAATTCGGACACCCATAATCCGGAATGATCTATAATCCGGACCTCAAAGCTAAAAACGTTCTGCGCATGCGCCTCGTTGGCACATGCGCACAGCCGTTTTACACGTGCGCGTAAGACCTTGACTACTGCGCATATGCATGTGCGCAAGTGCAGAATACGTTTTTGCCTGCGTGTTTAAAGTATAACGGACGGTGTAAGCTAAAATTATCTAATTATCTATTTCAGTTAATGTTAATGATTGCGTTGTTCCTTAATCTTCGAATTGGATCTCGCTTATTATTTTTTGCAGACTGTAAGAGCAATTTTATAAAAGTAAACTTGAAATTTCGATTATGTCAAATAGAATTTCCGATGCTGGAACTTCCAAAGGATCTACAAAACGAAAGTATGTTTCGATGTCCAACAAACAAAAAGTGAAATTGCTCCAAAAAATGGATAAAGACATAAAGAATGTGACAGAGAGGTTAGTGAAAACGAAAAAATTTCGATTGACAAGTTAGTCGGTATTCCCGGCACAGCAATTAACAGGACTTGAACAGCGGAACTTTGTTACTGAACATAAAATTATGTCTGTTTATAGAATTAAAGAGAAAGTATTATCACATAAAACGAAGCAACTTAAACAACTTACATTGAAAGAAATGTTTAATAAAGTAAACAAATAAATATTAAGCTTTTTTTTTTTTTTTTTTTTGTAAATTTTGATACCCTTTAGATCATAATTGTTCTTTATTTCATAAATTACGGTTTCATATTTTTAATTTTAGAATTTCTGCATGCCATCTTACGAGATTTAAACTGATGATCTATAATCCGGAAAAATCGATAATCCGGAATTGCTGAAGTCCCGACGAGTCCGGATTAACGACTTTTGACTGTACTATTGTTGTGGTTAAAAAGCTCGTAGTTGGATCTCAGTTTCAGATGGATGGCCCGCATACCAGTGGTTACTGCGTGTGCTGAACAGTTGCATTCTATGGGTTTGCGAATTTAGAGTGATTGATGACAACACTTAATGAAGAATCAAAACACAATTTATTCGTCAGTATTACACAAGAGAGTTTTCCAAAAGCATGTTTGCAGATGTTTAAAAGCTATGATAAACTCGCTTGAACAATCAGCAATACAGCCTTTAGGCTATCAGGCTATATCAGTGAAGACAGCTTCATGGCAAAGCACTAAAGTACAGCTTTCGACTTTGTCGATTGCTCTCGAGCTAATCTCTGAACTCAAGGCACTATTGCTGAACTCAATATACTAAAGATATACTGCTACTCCACATGCAGGTAGGGTATTTATAGTTTTGACCTGCCTTTGAGAACATTTTGGGAAAAACCAATAAGAATTTGTTCTAAAATGTTCTCACTCCGTCTATAGTATATCACCAATTTTGTTGTCAAATGGGCAATTTCGCACCAAATCTGAAACCCTGTCTATCCTTACCACTTTCTGGCAACCACAGCTGAGTGTTTTGCTACACTATGGTCTTTACCAGTTGTCTCCCCACTCCTCCTTTTTTTTATTGTGATTAGTTGCTACTTCAGTATTTTGTATGTAACTTATTTGTCTGAAATTCCTGACAATTTCATTAAATGCTGTAATAAAATTCAGAATACTGAAAATGAACAAAAAAAATTAGATTACAAATTTTAACTGCAATTTATTTATGCAGTCGATTTTAAAAATTAAACTATTATTTAAGGACTATAAAATTAAACGTTCAAAATTTACACTTTAATAGAAATATAGCATAAAATTATTTTATCTGTAATTAACTATTATTAAGATCAATGTTTAGTAAAATTGAGGTTTTATATAGCTTTTGCTGAGAAAATAATAATTCCCAAGCTATACATATCTTGTAATGAAGTGTATTCCAGCAAAATGTCCATTTGCTTAGAATAATTTTTTTTTTGGGGGGGAAGGGTATGATCATCCTTTAAAATAATGTTTTGCAGCAACTATTTACAAGAAAACTAAATCATTTTGAACTTTTAAGACCTTTTGTGTTGTATTGCCTGTATTGAAGTTTTTATCAAGAGCTTAACTGCATATTAGACAGATTTGAGCAATTAGAAAAATTTTAATATTGGTTGTTAAATTCTTTATTCTAGCAATTTTTGTGTGTAAAAGACTCATTCTCCTTAAGTAACAGCTTGCCTGTATTGTCAGTTTCTTTGGCTGGCAAGTAACTAATTTGTATAAACACCTCAGAGATAAGTAGATTGTTTTGGGATTTTGCCAGCAGTAAAAATATTATACTAGAATGTATTTGCTGCAGAAATGCTGTTGATCCTAAACTTTACAGAGCATCAGAAAAAATGCAGTACTGGTATCAAAAGTAAAAATGAGCAGCAAGTAAGTTTATTTTCTGCATGGAAATTGAAGAAGTAAATAATCATTTATTAGGGAATTAAGCTTCATTTACAAAGAAGCTAAAAGATAGACGATAGAGATGAAGAACCTGAAAAAGGTCCTTCTAATAGACTTTGTCATTAAAACAACTTAAAAGCACATAGAAATCTTTCATGTTGCCATAGGAAAGTTCTTTCACAGCTGTGTTAGTCTGTTCTTTGGTCGTGAACATCAATCTCTAATGTGTATGTTAAGTATACTAAAACCAGGTTACACATACCCTGAAAGGAAACAAGTGGTTGGATAATGCATACAATCAATAAATATCAAATGACTAATACTTTGCTGAATTGTTAAAGTATAATAAGGATGGTTAGAGTTGTACTCATTTGTATGAATGCTATTCAAGCTTGTACACTGCTAAAAAAAGGGGGGACAGTTCTATATCTCCCGTTCTACAGGGCTGATTGAAAAAAATTCAAACTGCGTTTTTCATGTCTCGAAAGCACGACTTAGGATATATATTAGATTTATATATAGCACTATTCTAACATAGGTATTTTGACACAAAATCGGACTTTTTCTGCAATAACATACCAATTTTTTTCCATATTTCCATTCTACTACTCAAATTATGCCAGAATGCCAAGTTTTGTAAAAATCGTACGAGTAGTTTTTAAAATACTAGCTCTCAAAATTTTAGCTCCTCAGGTAATTGAATTTGGCAAATATTTATTAATATCACCTTTTATATTAAACTTTTTTTATTTTTCCTTTCACATTTCGAAATTTAGGTTCATTCCAAATAAAATTTACCCATTTTTTGTGTTTTATTTTTTAATTTCTATTTTTAAATAATTTTTATAAATTTTTCGAAAAAAAATTTGAATTATAACCTATAAAATTTTTACCATCATCTTAAAGTAGGTGTATTTTTAACTGGTGAGGCTCCAATTAAATCTCCAATTTAATATTTTATTTGTAAATATTTAAAATATTGTTGCATTCTTAGACACAAAAAGCAGAATTTAAGTTTTGTTAACTCATTAGTAAACTACCAAGCCGTAGTGCAAATGAATATTCAATTTCTTTTGCAATAATTGTATTCACTTAACATTTTTGGAATATGAGCTAAAGAAAGAATGTTCTCAGAAGATTAAAGAAGTGTTTAAATCCAGTGATATTAGGTTTGCCTTACATGCTCAGGTATCAAAACGATTCTACAATTGCCCGAGTAGTTGACTTGTAAATGGCTGTGAATTAAGCAGATGACTTTTAATCATATGTTATTCAGTCAAAAAACATATTCCAAATGTTTTTTATTAAGATGCAATTCATCTTTTCATTATTCAATAACCAATCGGAGAACCGCTTGTGTTCCGAAAATAAGTATGTGTACTCAATCGTCCTGCATGTTCTTCAAATTCTTCTTGTGATTTTTTTCTTTCTCAAAAAGTAAAGTTGCCTCTCAAAGGAAAGATTTTTGACATTGAAGAGACAAAAGGAGTATGAAATCTACTTTTAGAGGCATGTCAAAAACAGATCTCTACAAGCCTTCTCTTCCATTACATGTTGTGCATTCAGACAAAAAGTTGCATCAGCGTAAATTTTATAATCTATTTTTAGTACACTCTGATTTCTTTATTAACATACAGTGAATATATACTAAACCTTTTACTTCAGTAATTTGGAATTTTTGACGGAATTGTTATCGAAACTAGGACTTAGAAGATAAGTCAAATTGAATATTTCGATAATCCAATAAATTCAAGGTCGAATTTTCAATATTTTATTTTTGGAGGGAGGGAAATTTTTTTTAGTTTTGGTCCATTATCCTAAGTGCATTTGCTTCGTTTCTTTATTTTTCCCATAAAAGCGAAAATCTTACGCATGGTATATGCATAGCTTCAAATTAAAATTTAATAATATACAGTGTGGTTATAATTAAAGTTCCAGTTTGAAATGATCATAAAAGGAAAAGTACTGGATCAAATGTTATCAAACTTGGTAACCATGTAAAGGAGATCATGGGAATTTATTTTCTGCAAAAAAAAAAGAAAATTCGAAACCTCACCACCAGGGGGAAATGGCGCTGTATGCAATATTGTTAAACGAAATATGGATC